GGGAGTAGGTGGGGGGCCGGGGCGGGGCGCTGCGGGCCGGCGCCGGTGACACGCTCCTGAACCAACTTGCGTTAGGCTCCGGCCCACGCCCTAAGGAGTTAAATCTTTCTCGTGTTACCCAGCGGCTTATAAGGAGGGGAGGCCAAGCCTACGCCTTATTGGGAGCCTTTGGGGTTTATTTTCTGCCCTTCTAACTTGGTGAGTTGGTTTTATTATTTTGCATGTTTCAAACTTTGATGATGGGGTGTGGGGTTTTTATTTTCATGCGTTCAGAGCTTTTTTGCCGATGGGTGGCGGGAGGCGGAAGAGAGCGGTTCCCACTTAACATTTTGGAGAGGTGGTTCCGAAAAACATTCTCTTGACAGAATGCTCGGGGCCACCGGGACGCAGCGCTCTCGCCAGCGCGGGCAGCTGAGAGTTGAATGATCTTGGCCCTGTTCGGTGGGGTCCGGAAAACACCTACAGGCAAGTCTTGGCCTTTGAGCGCGCCCAGCCCGAGAGTAGGGGGCTCCTGACCGCGGGGCGAATCGGGGGGACGCCGGGCTCAGCGCCTGCAGGGATTTTCCCCAGGAAGCTGCCTGCGCGTCCCAAGCGCCCAATGTCAGAGGTGCCTTCCCCTGGGCTCGCGCGCGCACGCGGGGCGGCCGCCGAGGCAGCGCGAGGGAAAGCGGGGTCCCAGGTCCCCCCACCCAGAGCTCACTGCCGGGGCGTCAGCGTGACCCCGCTGGGGGAAGGCAGGCATTCCCCTGCCGAGCGCAGGTCCTGCACCTTGAGGGTCACAGCTGTCAGCGGCTCCCCTGCACTTCCAAGCGCCCTGAGCGGCCCGCCCCTGGGAAGCGCCCCTGGAGCTGAGCAGTTCTGTCGCGAAGCAAGATGAGTTTACAGAGGAAATGGGTTATTTCCTTCTCGGCTTTTTCTGTTAAAAAAAAAAAAAAGCAACAAAAAACAAAACTCCCACCAACCCCCCAAGACAGGTGATAGAAGTTTGTGCGGTGGCCCATAAAATGTCACCCAACCCGGGAGTGTTAGAAAGCACCCCAGAGCCAAGTGCGGAAGAGCGATTGCAACTTGTCAACCAGGAAGCTAGTTGTTTGCGCTGCTAGGCGCTGGGGCTGGTTCTTTCTCCAAGAGATGCTTTCCACCCTGGAGAGTGCCTTTTCTCAGGAATCTTACTGTTTTTGCAAATCATAAGAAAACGAGTGATTTGTTTGCAAAAAAAAAAAAAAAAA